GTGGAACATTTCTACATTTTATTGAGAAATACGATTTTCTAGCATCTGTGGGAATATAACCAAGATAAGTTCTCCCCTTGATCATTAAGCCTTTTGCGGCATATTTTTGAAGCGTAGCTTTGTCCTTGAATATAATTTCTATGTGTGATCTTTTGCCCCTATTAAAATATTGCTTGGCGGCATTAATATCGTAGCCTGCTGTCTTGAATAAATCTTCCATGATTTCATTAAATGAACATTGTAAGCTGCTAGTTGCTATGATTAGTGTGTTGTCATTTTTGGTTTTGAGCGTATTTCTAGGGGAGAAGGAGGAGAAAGTAGTTTTTCCTCGTGTTAGTTTGGGAAATAGCGAGGACCATGTTCGTTTTCCAGCCTGTAGTCTGCCTGAGTATGTTCGTTTTCGCTTTGTTGTGTCCTTTTCTACATTTTTATATTTAGAGGAGGCTGCAGTTACGTATCCTTCCATAAAGTCCAGGTCTTCGATAAAGTCCTCGCTATCTAGAATATTGTCTACTTTAATCTCATTTGTAGAGTTGCTGCATTTTGCATCTATTACTTGTGTATTTTTTGCTTCGGGGTTACTCTCTATATGTTCTGACTGTTCTATATTTGTTGTGTTCGTGATATCGCTAAGTGTAGTGATTTCTTTATTGACCTGTTTATCCCATCTGAGTGGTGGTTCCGCGGTTTTGTTTTCTTGTTCACGCGTCTGTTTTTCTTTGTTTTCTTTGTTTTCTTGGGCCGACGGAATCGTCATCTTGTTTTTTTTGTGTTCCATATTTTGCGGGTTTTCTAAGAATACAGGTTCTTTGAGCTTTCGTTTTCTGTTTAACTGGGGCCAGGCCCCTCTACCTTTATTTTCTGTGTCCTTCTTCTTCTCGTGTTGTGAAGTTATTTCGTATTTTAAATTTACTCCCTCTACCTACTGTGTCCAGGAGAGAGTGCGTTTTTTTTTTAGTAGGCAATTTTTGTATAATTTTTGTTTTGAAGCGTAAGGCAAGATTAACTATATTGAGGAGGCCTTTAAGTTACTCACAAGTTGTTTTTTGAGATTATTACTTTTTGATGCCACTTCAGATGAGACTATTGTATGTGATAGCAAGTGCTATGCTATATATTTCGAATATCCATCTATAAAGCTACACTTCTTCATTAGCAAAAAAACTTTTTCTACTACCATCTTCAAGACAATAAGAATTGCTATAATCAACCTTATCAAGTTTATTCTTTTTCTTGGTTATAATCATTTTATTTATATTAGGAAGCATTGGTATAATCTTTAATCATAATGTATATAACTTCTATTTTTGTTCTACAACCATTTATTCTAAACCAATATTTTATAAATGTGAACAGTTTCACAAAGACTTTTATTTTAATTTTTAATTTTTTTTTTCTTGATGATAATTTGTTTGAATGTTGTCATTGTATATGCCCAAGTAACTTTTATAACTAATGTTTATAATTTGTATTTAAAATGAATAATGCTTGTCCATAATATTGATACAATAATTCTGCTTCAATTTAAAAAACTAACTTGAATAATGGCTTTGGAAAAATAGGACTAGGTTTTTTATATTTTTATCAGTTTTGTGTTATGTAAATATTTGATTTGTTTGCTCATTAATACTAGTACAATATGATTTTGCACCAAGGACAATTTTTTAAAAGTATGTAAATAAGCATCTATGTATTATTGTTAATTTCATACAAAAAAATCCAATATATACAATTAGCTAACCAATCAATCTTTATATTTCTTGTTATTTGATTGGTGCTAATCTTGATTTTTGACCTGAATAAAAGCTACCCTATGACTTAGCCCAAAAAATCAAAAATTTTTTGATAGCTTCTATTTGGTAACATATAATATAATTTAAAAAAATAACCTGCATTTAGAGATATACTTATTTTATAAGTCCTAACTTGGAACTAGGCTATTTTCATACTTAGAGGGAGTTGACTATATTTGTTTTGTAAACATAGTACTTGATAATTATCAATTAAAAGTATTTAAAATTACTACTCATGTTTTTATTTAATCTTCTTTTACTTTTTATAATACAATCTCTTAATATATATTATAATTATTATATATATATATATATTTTTTTTTTTTAATATTGAGGTGACCACTTAGGCCCCTGGCACTTTATTAGTTCAAACGGGTGGGCCGTCCAAAGA